CAATTCACACCAATAAACTCCCCATTTTTCTTTCTCTCTACTGTGAAGCACCATTGAAATCCAATGCAAAAGCTCACTAGTACTTCATAAAAAACTCAACTTTTCACTCAAATCTGAAAGTTCACAAAGTTCAGAGAAATGGGGGTTAATTATTTCCTCTTAACTTTCATTTTTGCTCTGTTTGTTCTTGAATTTTCTTGCATAGAACCTGTTTGTGGAAATGCTGAGGTGAGAGCTTTAATGGAGATTAAAACAGCTTTGGACCCAGAAAGCAAGAAACTTTCTTCATGGACAAGTGATGGTGATCCATGTAGTGGTTCTTTTCTTGGTGTGATTTGTAATGAACATCATAAAGTAACAAATATTACTCTGACAGATAAAAGACTTACTGGAAAGTTGTCACCAGCAATTGCTGAGCTGAAGTGTCTGTCTGGTCTGTTCTTGCATTATAATTCTTTAACAGGGGAAATACCAAAGGAACTTGGGAATTTGACTGAGTTGAATGATCTTTATCTCAATGAGAACAATCTTTCTGGGATTATACCACCAGAACTTGGAAACATGGCAAGTTTACAAGGTTTGTAGCCTTTGTAAACATCTTTCTGTTTAATTTTGTGGGAGATTGTTTCTCTTTTTTTCTTAGCTCCCACCTTTTTGCTGCTTTGGTGACTCAATCTTAAATTATCTGTCGTGATTTCTAAGAAATAGTTGTATTAAATGATTTGTCATTTTAGAAGTTTTAAGATAAAATAATTATCCTTTTCTCATTCTACTTTTAATAGTAATTGTTCTTGAAGATCCTGTTTTGGTGACTCGAACCGACAACCTTAAAGTTGGAGGTAGAGAGTGCTTACAACTTGAGCAACCCCTGCTATCACGGAAATTGCTTGCTGTTTCATTCTACTGTTTTTTGTGTGTGCTAGTGAATAATGAGTCTACATGAATTTAGGTAACAGAGTAGACAAGTTGCAAAATTTCTTAGAGATCTATGCAGATTTTTTGGTTCTGTAAAGGTAGGACTTTGTGGGGATTGATGGTTTACTCCTTTTTTTGAGTTCCTTCATCCATAAATTAACAGTGCAAGTTTGAGAGAAAATAAAGTGTTACTAGTATATATATGAATTGTTGAATTTCCTAACATAAGGAAAGCTTTAAGTACAACAGTAGAAGTGGCTCAAAATTGCTTTAAGTAGCAGATTCGAATTCCAAGTATCCCGTGTTAGAATTTCTACTTCCGCCACTGTTGCACCCACACCCCCTTTTCTGGTCTTTATTCTTTCTTGTTAATTATATTTTTGGTCTGAACAGCATACTGAAATTTCTTTTCCAAATAAGGTGATGAAAGAAATGCAAGAACTTCTTTTTTTTCCCTTTCTACAATGATATGTGCTCTGAGATGATTTGTGCATTTTGTGGTTCCACAGTGCTGGACTTGAGTTGTAACCAGTTGACAGGGAGCATACCAACAGAGATTTGGTTCTTGAAGAAGTTGAGTGTTCTTGAATTGCAACGTAACAGGCTGACAGGTAAAATTCCAGAGAACGTAGGAGTTCTCGGGACGTTGAAAAAGCTATATTTGGGATTCAATAGGCTATCTGGTCCGATTCCATTAAACTTAGCTGCTGCTCCCCAGTTGGAGGTTCTAGAAGTACAAAATAACACCCTCTCTGGAGTTGTTCCTCCAGGTTAGTTTCCCTTTTTGAGTTCTTAACTTTTTATAAATCTTTTTTTCCTAGCTTGAAGTTATATCTTTTGATTTCTGATTTTAAACCTCTTTTTTCTCCTTTTTATCTGGACTGATTTGTAGCTCTAAGGAGATTAAATGAAAAATTCAATCATGAAAGCAATCCTGGTTTATGTGGTACTGGATTTACTTCATTGAGAGTTTGCACTGCCTGGGATCATGTCAATGTGAATCAAGTTGGTTCTGATGTACCTGATTCCAATAATAACGGCGTCCCTATAGATGTCCCAGGAGCTGCTCATATTAGTCCATTGCCTTGTAATCAAACTCATTGTTCAAGATCATCAAAATTTCCTCAAGCAATTATCGTTGCTTCTGTGATTACAGTCACTGTAACTTTGGTAGTAGCTGTAGTTTTCGGTATATTTAGACGAAGAAGGCTAAAACAAAGAGTAGGGAACACAAGTGATGCATCTGATGATAGGCTTAGCACTGATCAGGCAAAGGAAATATACAAGAGAAGCCCTTCTCCACTACTTACTGTTGAGTACTCAAATCGTTGGGACCCTATGACCCCTGAAAAGAGTTGCAATAGCATGTTCAATGAGTTCTTAAATGGATTCAAGTTCAATTTGGAAGAGGTTGAGTCTGCAACTCAGCATTTTACAGAGACAAATCTATTGGGACGGAGTAATTTCTCTGCCGTCTATAAAGGAATTTTAAAAGATGGATCTACGGTAGCTGTAAAAAGCATCAGCGTGACAAGCTGTAAGTCGGAGGAGACGGAGTTCATGGAAGGATTGAGCTTATTAACCTCCCTGAAGCATGAAAACCTTGTCAAGCTAAGAGGTTTCTGTTGTTCAAAGGGAAGAGGCGAGTGCTTTTTAATCTATGATTTGGCCTCTAAAGGGAACCTTTCTCAGTATCTTGATGTTGAAGTAAACAGCAACCATGTTCTTGACTGGTCCAAAAGAGTTTCGATCATCAAGGGGATTGCAAAAGGTTGGTCTTCTTTGCTTTTGTTCATCATTACATCTTCAACATTCTCTACAAATTTCTCAGAATATTTTAAAGTTCGGAAATATTATGGCTGTATATTATTTTCCCCATAATGTGGAGTCTTCTAGGAGTTCCATTGCATAGGCAGTCTATTACCACTAAAGTGCTTCTCACAGGAGTCAGGAACAGGATGTGACTGTAGATTCATTTGCATGGTAATTAGTGGCAGAGTTAGGACTTTCATTAAGGGGTTCAAAGTATGAAAAAGTAAACACACGAAGAAGCCGAAGGGGTTCAACATCTACTATATATACATAAAAATAATTAAAACCATGTATAAACAACGTAATTTTCTGCCGACCACCTCGGCCTACCTAGCTCCACCCCTGTGGTTAATATATTATCAAATTACTCCTCCATCCCAAAATAAGTGTCGCTTTAGTTCATTTCACGCCCATTAAGAAAAGTAATAAATGCAAGGCATAGTTTACTAAGTCACCCCTAGTTATTAGATGAAGAGGAGTAGTTCTTTAATATAAAGGTATAGTTGGAACCAAGGAGTACTATTTTTTGTCTTGACTTCTAAGTAGGCAATTATTTTGGGATACACTTTTATGCTAAAGCGACACTTATTTGGGACGGAGGGAGTAATATGAATACAGAGAGAGACTGGAATTATTGTCATTCAAACTTAGTTGTGGGGCAGTAATTGTTGTGTCTTCAAAGAAGACCAGAAAAAGGTTGCAAATTATTGCTTTAATTGAAAATTCAAGTTCCCTTGCCATCAAGGAAAGCAATAGGATATGTCTCAAGAACCTCATTAATATGTGCATTTAATAGTTCTCCTATGTTCACTATTTCGAAACCAGTGCCTTTGATTTGATTAAAGATGAAATAGCACAGGTGCACCATCACTGCATTAACTTCAGTTGTTCATATTAGAACAACAGGCAACAGATATTTGGGCTAAGTTTTAGTATAGCTAAGGTCTCTAATTAATAAAATCTTTAATACACTATGATGGCGAATGATTTCAACTTACCAACTATATTGTTTTTGTGAGAACCAGGGAAAACTTACACATGTTTTTTGCGTTCTATCTTAATATGATTCCTTCATATTTCCTTTTGACTGATACCAATCGTTATGCATCTTTCTAACAGGACTAGGATATCTGCACAGCACCGAACCAGACAAACCTTCCATGGTTCATCGCAACATATCTGTGGAAAAAGTCCTCCTTGATCAACAGTTCACTCCACTAATACTGGACTGTGGCCTACTAAAGCTACTTGCTGATGATGTTGTTTATTCTGCACTTAAGGTCAGTGCTGCACTAGGATATATGGCTCCTGAATATATTACAACTGGACGATTCACAGAAAAGAGCGATGTATATGCATTTGGAGTAATTATCCTTCAAGTACTCTCTGGTAAAGGACTTCTGGACTGCTCAATGAGACTGGCAGCTGAATCTTGTAACTTTGAGAACTTCATTGACCCTAATCTCAAAGGAACATTCCCCATAAGTGAAGCAACTATGCTAACTAAACTTGCAGTAAGTTGCACCCTTGAGGATCCAGATAGCAGGCCAAGTATGGTTTTAGTAAATGAAGAATTGAACAGGTCTAGTTGTGGTTGAAAAAGGAAACAATGAAGTCCTTTTTGTTCGCGTTGAAATTTGTTGATGATTATTAACCATATGGAACAAGTGCCATAGCGATAGAGCTGCAGTTTTCTATCTATTGTATTATGCAACATCACTTGCTTCTGTATATAATGAGGCTGATTGAACAAATTCTTTGAATGGTTTGAAGGTGAAACTGGAACGCCCCCTGGCGTCCTTGATTGTTGTAGCTCAGAAGAGATAAAGAGGAAGCTAATGAACTTGTACCATTATTTGATCTTTTCACTGTATTTTAATGTCTCTTTCAGGGCCAATATTCTGATAAATGCATTATTCTTTGTATCGAGTGATCCAAATTCAATACAGTACCTATGGGTACATAAAAAATATATTGAATCGGTTCTCTTTGCAGCCCTATCCACTGCACCACATCCTTTGGTGGTGAATCGATTCTTTTAATTGTCTTCTTGTGGGATGACTGCAAATTTAGCCCTTTGTTAAAAAAACAATTGATGGATTGTGGTGTCTTAGTGCTAGAGAACTGAATAGTTTTTAGAAGAAAGACATAATTGATGAATACGTTATGCATAATATTAAGATATGATTGTAATGCACGAGGCTTTATGAATGTTATGTTATAGGAAACTACCTAACAAAGTGAAAAGCAAGTTCCACTGAACCTGTGAGATTAGTTTAAGAAGTATTTACATAGTGATTGTCATATGTATCTTTTACAAAATTGTTGTGGTGCAATCAGAGTCATAAACCAATTTATCCCAATCAAGGATACACATTGTCGTCCTCTTCTCATACCTGACTTGCCAAAGTTACCTAATTACACAGTCCTCCAACAGTTTGGGTTAAGCGCGACGGGGATTTCGAACTGCCAACACATTACATGATCCTAACTTCAACATGTTTGATTATTACATCAATAACATAATATAGTACAACAAAAACATCAACTGCTATTACAAAGTATTCTCGTCTGATGAGTTGTCTTATTCCTTTCCATTCTTCATATCCAAGAACTGAAGATCTTCGAAAAAAGGGAACTCTGAAATTTGAAAGGAGTTATTGCCAACTTTGGCAGGATGTGAGTAAGCAGTCGATAAATAGGATCACTCTATGCAGTTGAAGTCTGCTCTTGTTGATCTGATAACCATTCAGCAGGCCACCACTCTGGTTTAATTGCCTGGACTTTTACATCATCCAAACCTCGTATTGTTAACGAGCCTTTAAAGGCTTCATCCAAGCGCAGAAGACCCAAACCCCGGCTTCCAAGGGCAGTTGTGACAGTTCCTGCTTTCTTTCTGGATGATGCATCAATTACTTCCGACCTTGGAGCAACTTTTTGTTCCACCTCTGGTTTAGGAGGGGGGGGGGGGGGAACTCGTCAATGGTTCTGAAATAGTATGAAGTACTCAAAAAAAAATTAAGAAAGCTACCTTTTCCACTGTCATTCACAAACTTAAGGGGAAGCAAACGTTTTCGGATGACCCCACGATGATGTGTGCGAGCAATGAGTTCTTGGCCCACATAGCATCCTTTATCAAAGCTTATTCCATTTAAACCAGCAAGATTGTACTCAAGCGGCACAGCTTCACCTGCGAACAAAGTTATAGATCAGAAAAGTGATTCATAAACTTCACAAACAAATGAAGGTAGAGAGTTCAAATGAAGATAAAAGGAAGGAAGAAGCGTAAGGATTAAATGAAAGGCTTTAGTTCGTTTTAGGTGACAATATCTATAGCTCTCTCAGGATACATTTCCCTACATCCGCTACTATTTCAGATACTTGCGGACTCTCGAGTTGTTGTTTCCCACAAACTAATTGCATACAGAGGGGCTAAAAACTCGAGCAGAAAGTGAGACTATAATATAGATCAATTAAAGCACACCTTTAGGAATCTCAGCTGAGCCTTCTGCAACTCCCTTCTCCAACCTCCACAGAAGATAATTCTCTTCGTTTGTCTCTTTGTCTGCCTCAACCAAAGGTGCTGAAGCAAATTTGAGCATATATGAGCAAGCATGTACAATATCTACGACTAGTATAACATATTGAGAAGACATAAAATTTATGCTTAATCATGCAGAAATATGAGTAGATTATCGACCAAGAGTCCATTATATACCAACTATAACTTGAATTTGTTCAAAGTCAAATTTCTGAATCAAAAAGGTGAATCAATAAAGATGAAGATAACAAGTCTACACTGATCAGCAGGATATGGGGCTGTGCCAACTTCTTCTAGACAAAATGAAGAAAACGAAAGAGATGAAGCATTGGGAAGGTAAGTAACCAAGACTTACGAGTTGTGTTGGATGGAAATATGCCCCTGAATCCAAGGCAATCTAATCTGGGATCTCTATACCATAGCCACCCACAATTGTTTCCTTGTGAAGATGACTGGCCAGAGCGATCAAACCCACCACCCCATCCAAGGGAGGCAGCATCTGGCTCTTCAGAGGACTTCTGAGTTAAATCTTGGCCAAACCTCTGCCAACAAGAGAAATCATCAGCCACACTCTCTATTTCAACCTTAGACCTCAACCGATACCTGCATAAACAATAATATACTCACATCTTTTACAAGAGTCGAAACCAATATACAATAATAACAGTAAAAGAAACTGTATCCCAAAGAACACATTTTCCGAATTTTGCCATTTCAAGCCCTCAAACAACAATTTTCTAATAACCAGGAAATACAGGCATGCATTCTAGATGAACCATTCCAGCAGCTTATCCAAAGAAATAATGGTACATTGGCTTATGATTCAATCAACTAGTCACCATTAGTCCAACTATGAGGAATTGCAGATTGCAGCTTTCACAACTGCTTATCCTCAGATCTTTTACCTCGTAACTGACATCTCCACCCATAAGAGGACGGATCGGTGTCACCAAATCAATGGATCATTTCCATGTCTCATCAAAGTAGGCCTTTAATGAAAAGAACACCGAGGTTAAAGATTGTTTGAACTGCAGCAACGAGACAAACACTAAATATTCAAAAATTTCGGGGCGAAGAAAAAGAGATTGAGACTGTATAAATTTCATATCCATTGCATTTGCTTAGCAATATCCAGCATTCTGCTTAAGCCCTCCATTGCCAGTATGAATAGAAAAGGGGAGAGGGGGTCTCCCTGTCTTCAGCTCTTTGTGGAGAAAAAAAGCCACTGGGATTCAGTTACTAAGATAAGAGTACTTGCCGGTAGAGATGTTAAATTCAATCCAACTATGTCCAAATCCCTTCTTTTTGAGTAGTGAAATGAGATACGACCAGTTCAACTGATCAAAGTCTTTCTGGATGTCCAGCTTGCACAGAATACCTGCACCTCCCTCATTCAATTTCTAGTCTAGAACTCTATGTACAATCAAAGAGGCATAAGAAAAGCATTCTGATTGTTCGAGACCAACTTCACCATCACTGCTTTGAGCCTCTCTTCTAGGAATTTTGAGAAAAATTTTAAAGGCTCCCAATAAGACTAATTGGTCTATAGTCCTTAAGCTCTAATGCTCCTTTTTTTTCTTGGGAATCCAGGCAATGAAGGAAGCATTACTTGATCTCACCATCTAACAATGTTGACGGTAGTGATGTAGAGCTTCCATGATGACTGTACTGATGAAATCCCAAGAACTTTGGTAGAAATCCATTGTTCACTCATCAGGCCCTGCATCACTTGCATCAACATTGTTGGATGGTGACATCTTTTTCTCATAGGACTTTAAGCTTTGATTTCAGTTTCTAATTTTGATGGAGTTACAAGTATACAAGTAAACCAAGTTAATATGGGACATCCTTCTATGCTGTCAATTATATCTAAAATCAGATCAGACACCCAACAGTCAACAGTCTAGCTACCGTTTCTAGATTCACTAGTTCAGCCAGTATGAGAAGTCAAAATCACTTTTTACATCACCATGACATCATGATGGATCTCATGCAATCCCTACATAAAATAAAGAATCATCACAAGGTATAACACTGTAATGTATGCAAGGAACAAAGATTAACTAAACTATTAGCTAGAGCACCTTGTATTGCAGCAGATATGATTTGGCAAACTACATCATGGCTAGAATGAAGAAGTTTTACATATGTTTTTCTAGCATAAAAAGGGGAAGTAAGCTCCAGCCATTCCAGATGTTTTTTTGTTCGTATATTACATAGTTCTATCATTAGAATAATTCGTACTTTGCCAGAAGGTGTGGTATATGCATGCATTAAACCTCTTTTGTAGGCAGATAACTTTTTGAGAATGATAAATAAAATGATTTGTAGGCAGAGAACTTTGCAGCTACTTTATCAACAAAAGAAAAAAAAATCAAGCTAATAAGTAGATTCATTCAAAGTGATGTAAACATATATTTATCTCACATTTTTTTCTAGTCAAAGAAGTATCAAGATAATATACATCCTTCACAGTGGTTGTACATGGACTTTTCTTTGACGATATCTGAATATGTTCTGATGAATGTGCCAATGATGATAGAAACTAAGGTCTACCTCACATCTTTTCTAGGAAAAAATCTTCGACAGATTACATCTTACTTTCCAACATATACTGGTTGGAAGAACTGTTTTGTCCATTCAAGCTTCTCTATATACCTAACTGCATAATACATACAACATTCGACTTACATTTACAAATTCAGGCATCTCAGAAGTTTTGTTCTGATCCTGGTTTCCATCTGAGGTAATTATGAATGGTTGGTTCTTCATACTGATTTGATGGTTACTCTGCAGGTTTATACCACACATGCCCTTAAAGTGGAAGGCCTTTTAGAAACATAACAACTATACCAGCAAAGCTGGAGTCAACCACTCCGTTTTTGCTCAGGGAGTGGATCTCTTTTTCACTCGGCTTGCTCCGTCACATACCTATGACTCTCTCACTGAAGATTTCAGTTATGCATTGCTTCTCATTACAATAGTTTCCCTGGTTATAGCAATTTTTGTAACATGGATTTGATCTGAGAGGAAAGAGTTAGAGAAGTCAAGGTGAGTCAAGTCCATTAGCTACTTCAACCCTGTGTTAGATAGGAGGGTGTGGAGATCACGTATTATGGTAGAAGGTTAGTAGGTAGTAGAGTGTTGTCTTGCTTTTCAACGGGCTTAGGATTGTGCTTGTCATAGTATCAGACTTATTCTTGTAGTGTCTTGTTTTTTATTTCTACCTTCATCTGTTGTTTCTAGTGTTCACATTATCGCACTATTTTGTAGTTGCTACTATTTCCTAACTAGCTGCTATGTTTCCGTCACTGTTGTTTTCCTTTTCATAACTACTAGTACACAACCTTAGCCTGCCCTGCATTGTCAGGGGATAACAACTTTACATGTTACACCAATGCTCCCCTTCGTATGAATGCAGATGATTCATAATATCATCTAAGTTTATCCTTGAGCAACGATCAATTAATCAATTTCATGCTGATACACCCCACAGCTACATTTACAAATATGCTCATCCAACTTCTCTTATCACAATCAACTTCAATTTAATATGCAAATACAAATAGGCTCATCCAACTTCTCTTATCACAATTAACTTCAATTTAATATGCAAAATTATATAAAGCTCAAAACTTGGAACCTCACTTTTTCAGTGTCTGCAGAAGCTCATCCAATTCAGACCCATCAACATCAGCAAACAATTCCAGCTCCCCAGAATCAGGGCCAGGCCCGGAACCAGTCCGATCAAGCTTCTCATCAGCCCGAGGCGGCCTATACAAGAACATATCATACAAAAACCTTCCTTGAGGAGTCAAAAGAGCAGCATACACCGGAGGAACCGAAACGAACGGGGCATTGGTAGTAGCTAAAGTGGTCCTATCTTCGGGTTGTGGATTTTCTAGCCTCCGTAGATCATTGGTAACAAGACCCTGAAGGAATTTAACGGTTTCGGGTCCGGTGAACCGGATAACGGATCGGGTCTTGAGACGGGAAGCCATGGGCCCTGCATTTTCGAGCTGAGATTGCTCAGAGAAGCGTCTGGAAGAGTTGATAAAAGTTGAAATTTTAGGTTTGAAGAAATGAAGAGATTGTTTGAAACGGTACATTGCTGGCGGCGATGGTGGTTGCAGAGCGGTGAGGACGGCGAGTATATGAGAATTGGGTGAGGGACACGTGGATTTAGACGGTGCTACGTGGTGAATAGAGAAGGAAGTTGGCTGTTAGGTGTTCGATGAAATTCCCCACAGAAAAAATATTACAGCTTTCGAATAACTGAAACAGACTACTCATCTCGTGTTTGAATCCCTTTAGATATGCTTTTGTTAAAGAATATTTTACTGCCTCGTATGAAATTTTTCGTTCGTATTCAAATTTAGTTGAACTCCAAGTAAATATTGTATATGGAATAAAAAACTAAAAAAAAATTAGTTTACAAGTGTCACGACTCACGATGCATTGTGCATGATACACCATAAACATCTTTTTTGTGAATAGGTTTTTTTTCTATAAATAGAAACTCAATCTAGTTTATTACTCCTTCCGTCATGATTTCCTTTTTTAGAGTTAAATTATAAGAATTTTGATTAACAATTGATGATGTATTATTCATCATATTGATATGCAAAAAGTTGCAATTTATAGTATTTTTCGTATAGTTTTTGAATATCTAAATTTTTTATTTAAAATATTGAATTAATATAATCTAATTTAACTTTAAAAATTAATCAAATTTATCTTCAAAAATACATAAAAAAATATACCGTTAATAACTATTATTTTAATGAACCATTATACATCATAGTTTTTCCAAAAAGAAAATCTCAACTTGTGCAACACGGCCTAGGCCTACTAGAAACTAATTGTTGGGTCCTAATCAAATTGCTTGCTTGCAAAGAACGATTCAATTTCTAAAGTAAGATTAATTATTTAATTAGCATTTGCCATTATTTTTTAAGCTTAACAAATCCGTGTACTAAAACAAACTAGATGTTTTAAGTCAACTAATTTATTTTCAACTATGGTGTTGAGTATAACAACCCAATAACTAACCAAAATTCAATATTTTAAAATTAATGAAACCATGGTAATTACTTAAATTAATTGGGCCCAAATTTCCAGTTACATCATGTTCATTTGCTTGTACATATCCGATTAATTAAAATAATGATTACAGTTACTGTAATTATATTATTGTAATATAAGGTCCATTTCGGATAAATTCAGTAATCTAATTATCATTACTAACTTTTAATAAATTTCTTACGGGCTGCTTAACAAACTCTATCCAACAATTGTTATTATGATATGTTTGTTTAGATTATATTTTCGTTTTATTTAATTTATTCACCGTCACCCCTACCTAAAAAGTATTAATTAATAATCTTATCACCTGATTAAATTTGTGTTAAAAAGATTTTTCAATTTTTAATGATTAAAGGTTTGAAGCAAGTTGGAAATCTATAGTGACACGATCAAGTGGGATTAATTAGTGCTATGGAAGATTAATGACCTAAAAACCGACCTAAAAGTTACTTCGCGCGTACATAATTATTATTTTTTTCAAAGGAGAGAAGAGACTCCCTTCGTACATAATCACTCAACTATTGAAAATTATATATTAAAGTATTTCTTCTTTATTTTGTCATAAAAAGTTACTTGGTATGTAGTGGATATATATGGACGCACTAGTTTAAGTTTAATTTTGGTATTAGTCTTAATTAATTTTTATAGTACCTACGTAAGAAAGAAAGAAAGAAAAAGAAAAGATCAATATATATCACTTTGGGGGAAAAGATCATATATACAACTTGTCAAAGATTGATATATTTAACAAAGTCCAACTTACTTATCATTATATCAAAGTGATTGATGCCATGACATATTTTTTGTGTCTAGAACAACGTCAATGTTTGTATATACTTTCTCCGATCATATCGTGTCAGAGTCGGAATTTTCACTAAAAAAATATAAAATATAATGAATTAAATTCACAAAAAAGTCAAAGAATATCAATATATAATATACATAAAAAAATTAATTTTACATAGTTATACAATATAATTTTTCGATAAAAGATATCAATTAACATCTCATAAGTATATGTGGCTTCGCCAATGCGTCCCGATTATAGAGTGTGAATAATCGAATATTAATAAGGATGATATTGCATATCTCTTTGACCATATGGTATATATGTTGAGTGTAAAGGCTAAAGTGTAAACTCACATATATGATATAATGGTGATTATCTGTTAAATCAATATAAAAAAAACTAATAATTAAGCTTTAGCTATCATTATATAGTCCAAGCCGTTCTATAATAGCCAATCGTGTTTTTTTAATTGATTTTTCATCATATGCTTTTTATAATGGCATTTTTCTACCAATCAAAAAAATATTGAGACAAACGACATTAATATAAAAAGGTTTGAAGATCTAAAATCTTTTTATAGCTAAATACCTGTCTTGAAATCTCTCGTTTTCACTTCAATTGACTTTGAGGGAGTAGAATATTTCACTATCCTACCTAATAATTAAACAAAAAAACGAACAATTTAATTAATACTAATACTACTATGTAATTTCAATTTGGCAGAGAAATATATTTATAAGAATTAGTTAGAAATGTTAAAAACTAGAGTGATGAATTAAAAATGCGTAAAATGAATGTTGAAATAAAATATAGTGATACCAATTCAAATACATGTAGTTGACTTTTAAGTACGAAGAGATTTTTTTAAAAGTACGGTACGATGACGTGGCGACATAGCCAACCAATGAGGAAGGAATAAATAATACTTGAAGTCAACGCAATTGTCTGCTAAAATAGAGTCATATTTTTTAATAGAATAATAACAGACGTTTAATTTATGCAAAAAAAAAAAAAAAAAAAAAACAGGATACGTACACGGTATTATTGTCATTTATCTTTTACTATAAAGTATATTTTTTCTTTTAAAAAAATATTTACAAATATAAGTTGGAAATAGTCAAAAGGGATGGATTATATATATAATTAGCAAATGTGATGAAAAATGTGTATATCCTGTTTTATTAAATCTAATACTAACTAAAGTCTTGTGGAGATCTAGAACTTCGACGTCAATGCATCTATTCCTTATCTTCGACTTAAGATAAATGTATTTAGTTATGAACTATAGCGTGTATGAAAATTGATATTGCAATAAAAACAATATATCAGGTGTATATAATCTTGTAAGTGGGGTCAGTGGAAAATAATGTGTATGCAATTTTATTTTTATTTTGATAATGTAGCGAGGTTATTTTCTATGGACCTTCGGCTCAAGTAAATCATATCAAAATAGATATGAATAGAAAATACAATACTAAATTAGAAGTTATGTAGAAAATAATGGAGAAAAGAACAACAGCAACAACAGATAATATGATAAATCAGAGTAAATAAAATAACATGTAATAATAAAATCGAAGATAGCAAGAGATCGAGCTAGAAATATTAATTAGTAATGATAGGGAAAACTAGACAGTTATTATACACAGTAACCTCCTATACCTTAGTTCTTTAACTTTCATATTCTCTTATTTATGGTCATGTTCAATAAGTTGCAGGTGTGTCGATCACATATCGTTTCTAAGCACCTCTCCATAAAACATCTTCAACAGACTTCTACTTCTCCTCAGACTCACCATAGCCAACTTTCACTCCTGGGGTATATATATATGCACAACTATCCTTCACATGTCTAAACCATCACAAACTCGCCTCCCTCTCATTTTGTTCGTCACTGAGGTCAGTACTCCTACCATGTCCCAAACATTTTCGGTTCTAATCTTATTTTTTTTTAGTTGACTCACACAACATCTAATATTCTTATTTCCGCTGCTTTCATCTTCTGAACCTACAAATTTTTAATTGGCTAACACTCGATTTCATATAACATAATTTATATTTTATCCATCTCGATCCAATAAAATACTTATAACGTACACGAGGAGGCTTGTCCATCAATCTCCTTTGTCAAGAGGTGATAGAAGCGCAACCACTTAGCCCCAACCTACTTATACATATTAGTGTACATACGTACTAGCTAGTGTACTATTGTTAAACTTATTATTGGTAGTACGTACTATATTTTTGTATGTTATATGGTTGGAGGAAGAAATTGCATTAAATTAGAGACGGGGAAAACAGAAAATGGGAAGAAGCAAAATAATATTGAGCTGTCTTTACAAAATATTGTGCCATCTTTTATTACGTCTGTTGAGTATTAATAGGAAGTAGACAAATATCTTTGTTGTTTTCACTATAAATCAATAGCCGTATACACTTTTGCTTCTACTACTCCCTAAATTAAAACTTGGCACTCTCCCCAAATACCTTTCAACTCACAATATAATGATTTCATCGGTTCAATTTATGTGATGGTATTAAAAGAAAATATCAGTTTGTTATTTATTGTGTGAAAAATATTAATTTTACTCTTTGTTACTTTTTATGTTAAGTGGTTAAAATATATAGTTTTTAGTTGTTAGAAGTTAGGATTATTCAAGATAAACGTCTAAATCTATGTGACACTGACATTTTGATGAGATGAACATACATGACATATCACGTTAACTTCTACCTCTAGCACCATCTTCCCCTCTACCACGCCCACAAATTCATCATTTTCGCATAGTAAAACAAATATGTCACATTAAATAAAATTGAGAAGATATTACTAATACCTTTTTTGTTTAATTCCTTTTTGGCAAAGATTATCTTTCCTTTTGTGTGAACGTAAAAGAGAAATGTAAGTGTAGATAACGTATTAGTTGGATGTACATCATTTCCTAATAATTATTTTTGAGAAAAATGGGATTGCACCGCGTATGCGATGACAAAGGCGAAGTAAAAGGACAGCAAATACCAATATATTGTCATGGTTATATCAGTATATATAGCTTGTATCGTAATATTTGTGTGATTATAAAAGCTTCTGCATAAAGATAAAATGATAAAGTAAGCTAATTGTTTCCAAATTTAATAATATGTCACTTCAATATCTATTCTAATTTATATAATTTATTTTTATTTTTATTTTTAATTATTCCAAAAAGAATGATTCATTTTTATATTTTAACTTTTGACTTACCATTTTATCTTCGATGAAATGAAACTTGAAAGTATCTTCTCTTTCTTTGGTTCCTCGTGCCGATGTTTGATACTCATATTTCTGAATCTAAACTTGGGGTGAAGAAGTCTCACGTTGGACGTAAAACATTCTCTACCAAAAACTATATTATGTATCCAACGATGTTCGAATCTAAAATCTCTAGTTAAGAATGAAACAATATAATCATTCTATCACATTAATTCTTGTTAGTAATAGAAATATTTATCCCTTATTTCCAACAATAATTTTTTTTAAATTTTTTTTTCTTAAACTCTGATCAAAATACCTCATACAAGTATAAAATAAAATTCTCTTTTAAATTAGATTTAATAAAAAAGTTACTTAATAATTTGATGGAAGAAGATCTCCTTTTTTTCTAAAAAATAATTTTGTAGATCACCTATAATATATGGTGATAGTTGGCAGTGATCAAAGAATATATAGTAATAGTTGACGGTGGTGCTAGTTGTGATGACAGAGTTTGTTGATAGCAGACATTGACTATAGTGGTGATAGTGGTTGATAGTGGAGGTGACGATAACTACAGAAACAGAGGCGATGATGACAAATTGACAAATGGATATAATCATAATGATGATGAAGAAGATAAGTGTGGTAGTAGCTGACAGTAGTAGTTAGCAACGGTGTGATTATGATGACAGAGGTAATTGGTGGTAAACAACGTGATGGTGGTTGACAATGATAGTAGCGGTGATTATGATGACAGAGGTGATTAGTGATTGTGACCGGTGATTATGAATTGAAAAATGAAAAATATTATCTATATAAAAATACTTTTTTAATAATATTAAAACTTTATTCTAGATCTTAATAATTTAAGATATATTCAAACTAACCGTATCAAAAGAATATGAAAAACCGACTGAAAGGATGTGAAAAGGCAAAAACTAAATAAAACAAGAGAAGTAAGACAAGAAATCCACAGAAAAACAAGGTAATACCACCACGTTGGAATTGCATGGTAACCGAATGTCAACTCTCTTCAAAAAAATTGACCTTTTCCCTTATTCTTAGCTTTCTAGAGAATCGCTTTGCTTCCTTTTTTCTCTCTATGTCTCTCTCAATATAAAACCCCCCCATTGTTATCACATATACTGTAATAAGCAATCCCCATTTTCACTAACTTCTCCTCAAAGAAAAAACACCAAGAATTCACCAACTACTAAACCCCATTTACACCAATCAACAAAATTCAAAAACAGAGATAAAGAAATGAAGTTAGTTTGGTCTCCAGAAAAAGCATCTAAAGCTTATATCGATACTGTTAAATCCGTAAGTATATACATACAATTTCAACAAATTCCCAATCCCCTGTTTTTTCCCTTTTCCCCCTTTTGTTTTTATTCCAACGGTTGTTGATTTTCTTGATTTTTCGATACAGTGTGAGATATTTCAAGAATCGAGTGTAGCAGAGATGATATCGGCTATGGCTGCAGGATGGGATGCTCAGATGATTGTAGAAACATGGTCGAGAGGTGGGGTTATGGCTACAAGTATTGGATTGGCTGTGGCAAATCATCATACAGGTGGTAGGCATATATGTGTAGTACCAGATGAAGATTCAAAAACAGAGTATGTAGAAGCTATGGAAAACGCCGGGATGTCGCCAGAAGTTGTGATCGGAGATCCGGAAGAAGCGATGGATGGGTTGATGGGGATTGATTTTTTGGTGGTGGATTGTAGAAGAAATGATTTCGGCAGAATTTTGGGAGTTGCTAAATTAGGACACAGAGGTGCAGTTTTGATTTGTAAAAATGCAAGTTCAAGAATTGCTTCTGATTTCCGGTGGCGGAGTGTTCTCGACGGGAAATCAAGAATTGTTCGGTCGGTTTTTCTGCCGGTAGGTAAAGGTCTGGATATTGCTCATGTCGGAGCCACCGTGAACGGCGGCGGAAAAAAGGGTGGCTCCGGGAAGACAGAAAGGCGATGGATTAGACATTTTGATAGAGATTCAGGGGAAGAATTTGTGATACGCAAGTGATGACGTCCAAAATTCAAAATTCTGTTAATAGTATATTTTTTTTCTCTTGTTTAATTATTTTTTCTTTTAGGTTTTTGTGTATATTATAGACGATACAAAATTAACCAGGTTCCTGTTCTTGCCAATTTTGATATATGCTAGTGCTTATCTTTCGAGGTTCTGTCAAAAGCATTCACTCTACTTGTGAAATTAGACTTTTGATATATGCCAGTGCTTATATTTCGAGATTTTGTCGAAAACAATCACTTTATTTTTATAACAATCACTCTATTTTTATGAAATTACACTTAGTTATTGCTAGGCTTATCTTGGTAATGAAAATTGTATATAGGTGTCATAAAATTTTGGATTAAATAGCACACAGATTTCATAGTTGTTATAGAAATCAGAATTGACCAGATACAATAACTTCCGTTACGTTACTTATTCACGTCTTCGAGAAAGGCAAATAAATATTAAATGCTTCAACAATATTTAATGGTGTTCGATAATACTCTTCCGTATTTTTGTTGGTTCTTAATATCACTATCTAACAAAAGAAAATACGATATAACTTGTGATGCAGTGGTGGAACTGCTCCACTAGAGGTATCAAATTCGAGCCTTGGTAGGGAGAAAATCATGTTAGGAGCAGTACTCCCGAATGACCCTGCAGTGCCAGTGTGCGATCTAAATTTAGTTGGGCTCCAATGTTTCATTATTCCTTGTATAAGTGAATCATAAAAAATTACATATATGAAAAGTAATGAAACATACAAAAATTTCAACAATTACTAAATATGAACACATAGTTATAGAAGTACAATGAGTTCCAAGCTAAGAAATTTAAAGGCTGAATTCATACAACAAAAATCCTGAACCAGCCTGTCACACACAAGACGTCGGACGTCGGAACATAAAGAAGACGGGTGGCTGCATTATTCTTTTTGTGTGTGTGCGTGTAACTACAGAGGCAATACTCACCCAAGACCTAAGCTTACCTATCCAATATCAACATCTTCAGAAAGTGCAAAGATACTTTGCTCTAGTAAATCCTCTCAGCTAAAGCTTAGGCTGGTTGGCAATGTCTAGATTCTTTAAAGCTAACACAGTGTATAAGTTATATCAAGAAGCCGTCATCTGAAGGACCTACAGAGGATTCTGTACTAATTCCTCAAACATTTTTGTATCGTTTAAAAGTAGGATGAAGGAAATGATCAAAGTGCTGGGAGAATTTGATAGCAAAGTGCCTGTGTTGGACATCTTGAGCTCTTGGAGTTAGTCATAACTATCTCTGCTTCTTCGCATAGCCTTCTTTTGTGACTGGGCCTTCTTATTGTCAAGTCGTTTGCGCTCCCCAATAGCAGCCCTTTTTAATAGGGAAATGAGATTGGTTATTCCAGAAAATTACAAGTTTGCATAAAATCACATAATTGGTATGTGTTTGAGAATGCTTACAATTTCGTTATTCTTTTCACTTGCTCTTCAGATGGAGGTGGTGGTACATAAGAAGCAGCATCAATTATATCCTGTGATACTGAGACTAATGAGAAATTCATAATAGACCTGTATATGGAGGAACAAATCTACTCACTGAAACATCATCTGAACACTCAAAGATGGACTTCTACCATTCCAATTGATAGAAAGTGGGAACAGTCATATAATGAATGATCCATATGAGTACCTGTAATTTACTCAAAGCATCTTCGATGTTACCCCTGAAAAGAATCATAGCACGCAATCAGCTTTGTGGCCTTGAATAAGGTCTAAGCAAACAGAAAATAATATAGGGAAGAGGCTCACTTCTGAGTTCTCGTCTTTGTTGAAGAGATCACAAGCTCTCCATCCTTATTTATCCTATTCTTTTCCTGTTTAGAATATTAAGAACTTAGCCCAAGTGTTAGGTGAGTTGAAACTTGCAGTAAAAAAAGATAACAATAATTATAATGCAAATTACGCACAAGCATTATGGCCTTTTCCAGTTATCAGATATGCGAATGTGTAGAACAAGCATCATTAATCAGTATACTTCAAATCTTCAATCACCTAATTATGGATCTAAAAGTGTACAGGGAAGTTATCAGCATTTGGTAAAAAATAATTGAAACCAGTCCATAGCCAATTGAAACCATACATTTATGGAGAACAGTGGCAAAGTGTCCCTTCAAACCATCATGAAATCATGACAGATGAGGCACTTACTTCATAATACGCCATAAGCGTTCATGATGGTAAATTAGCAAAGAGCTAGCGTGATGTATCTCTCTATACATAAAAACCTTTCTTGCAAGAGACGTGACAGGAAGAACCAAGAAACGGACTTTAACATTCTTGTACCAACTTAAATAATAGCTAGTTGGATGAAATGAAAACTGAGATACTCCTTGATTAAGACCACCGAGTTATCTTTCTAAAGAAAGCATAAACAGTAAAATACAGGTCTTCGCTCACCATTTGCAAAATCTTCTCTCTGACTCTGTCACTTAGCCAATATGCTTTTTCAACATTGAACCGCATATCCACCTTCGTATTTACTGTAAAGATAAAAATTTCTTGAAAAAGAAGGAAATGAAAACTTAGAAGGCAAACTTATCTTCTGAAACAAGCTGCACCAGACCTTTATTGACATTTTGACCTCCAGGACCTCCACTTCTTGCAAAGTTGACAGTCACGTGATCTGGACCAAACAATAGAACAAAGAAGAACACCACCAAAAGACTTAGCTTTTCCATTTTGTTCAATAATTTCAATAAATACAAGACATCCTGATCAAAAAGCCGAATAATTAATCAGAAGCAACACTTCTTCCATGTGAAAAACTAAATTGAATTGAACATAAAAAACGAGAACATGTAATGTACCAGAGATCAACCATTCTTATTTTTCTACACCCCCACCCCCTTGTGTCCTCTCAAAAGAGTAAGTTACAAAGATCTTTTATAGGTCAGTATAAGAAACCTGGCCTTTCTTTTAGAAAATATGCATGAAAATGAAAGGTTTTGATGAATATTAGATATTCCAAGTGGCTTTTGGCTTGTCACTGAGCAGAAGAGCCATATTAAGCAATTTCATACTGTAGCTGTTACAACTACTTCTGTCCTAAGAAGTTAAAAAGGAAATCCAGAATAAGTTTAAATTGGCAATAGTCGCTTTATTCCTACTCTACCTGTGGAGCAAATTTGACTAGTATCCCCATAGTCTTTGACATTGATGTTATGCAATACACATTCTTTCTTTCCTTTATTAAATGAAGGTGGTGTCTGGGTCAGTTTATGCACACCTCATCTATTCCACCGTGTACTTGCTTTTGTCCACCAATACAAGTATCTAGCAACTCTACTCACTGAGGCTTAGGCTATACATATTCTAGCAGTCTTTTTAATAGCAGTCCTAGTCCAAAGTATTTTAACATTTGTGGCTACTCTAGACAATTTTCCCTACTACCTACTGCTCTGTGCTTCACAATTCACATACAAATTCCTCAAAATCTTTCTGGTGAAAATCACAAATAATTCTGAGACCAAGTAACAAAGACTCTAGACCCCAACCCAAAACAAAAGAAAAAAGAATCACTGGAGAAGTGGCACTCTCAGCCCAACAAAAAAAATTTGATGACACCGATTATAATCCAACTTCCAAGCTAACGCCCACTATAGCTTTGCCATTTCGACATCACTTGTAAGGTAATATATTCACACAGCTGATTTCTCGAATACCATTTCATATGCAATCAGTCAGTAAAACAAATTTCATTTGCTTAACTCTATGAAATTATCAAGTACCCCGACATGGAGATGGAAGTGAAAGGATATCAATTGATCAACTATGTCTTCATCGGAACTAATTGGATACGCCATTGGGACAATCTCAATGTGAGATGATACACCAACTAATTTTGAGTTCCAAATCTGCTTCAAGGCTGTACCACTAAACTACAGTTACTGCATTTAAAAAATGGACCTTCATTTCCGACAGACCAAAACAAACTCTAAAACTTACAAAAAATGTAAATTTTACAGGATAAGGTGTTCCATACATTGCTAATCTAAGTCCCGATTCAATTAATAAATTCCAAGCATTTTCAGTGGAAGTCAATGAAAATTGGAGATGGAAAAAGATGAGCTTCATATATAGAGGCAATTGAAATACCAAGAGTAATCTTAGGAATAGGATCGTTGCCCGCAGCTTGAGCTCGCTCCTTAGCTTCATGTAACAGCTGTTGAACCTGAGCAAACCGCGCCGGAGACTTCTTTCCATCATCAGCACCACCGTCGGACGACGCCGCACACCTAACCGGACTAAAAGAGAGACTCCGTGATAAAATTCGATGACTCACAACAAGGTTCGTCGCCGGGAACGCTGCCGGCGAGATGTGGATGAAGCGAACAACATTTGGGAAGTGTATTGACGGACGGAAAATTCCCCGGACGAGAAAGCTTGTGGTGGCTCTGAATGATGCCATTTTCCGGTGCGAAAATTGAAGCCCAAAGGGTGAGCTTATAATCAAGACAAAATTACTACAAAAATGACTAATTTGTCCCAAAATAATTATCAATTTAAAAATCTACGACAAACTTGATTATTATTTTCTATTATGCTTTTTAAAACACTGACAAAGAAAAATATTTTAAGAGAAAAAACGATCAATTACTTAATAAACTATACCTTAAGAGAAAAAACGATCAATTCTTTATATCGGCGTAAAGAGAATTGAAACGACAACTATGATGAAGCGGAGAGTGAAAAGGTTAGAAATATAAGGAAATCAAGTAAACAAACGTACAATAGCCTTTTTTTAATTGTTTGGAAGTTGTTTTACAAAAAGTCTATTTGTATGCAAGTATTCATCCAGAAGACTCAACTTCTCCTAATACATCGATTTCACAGAACAAAGCATGCAGATGCCTCGCAATTATATAATCAAACGAGCAAGACGCAGAATAACCTACCTATGTTTATGAAGCTGCAAAACATATTCAACTAACCAAAATTATAAGGTACTAATATTATGTGACTATGTTCAAACATCCCTGACCATTCTCTCTCATACCACCCAGTTAAAGGAGCGGGAGCAGCCACGCATTACAACAGCTACACAAATTTGCTACAACGATTATTCAACGGTGGCATGCAGGAAGGATAAGGGTATAGATGTGCCTGCTTTCTGCAAAAGAAAAGCAGAATAACAAGATGCTAGAGCAGCTACTATTCATGACTACACATTCTGAAGCAGCAAATGACTTTTGCGACAGATGCTTCAACGTTTCTTAGCTCGCTCCATATTACTAGCAGTGGTGCCCTTTGAAGAACTCACATTCCCAGCATCTGTTTTTGGCCTCTGTGAATGCACTGGATGGGAAGGGCCAGCAGCAGTACCTACACCTGGTCCAAGGTTCCCTGAATGATGTGCGCTCTCCGTCAAAGGAAGTGCCCATCCACCCCTATTTGCACCATTATGGACACTGCTACCAGACCCTAGAACAAAGAAGTTGAGACATTTGAGACATTAGAATAATGGAACACGCAAATGTGCGGAGGGGCTAATATGACACAAATTGAAAAGAAACTCAACCATCTGGCAGTTACTGGTTTGCATATATCATATCCATATCCGCCAATACAATTATCTCTATGGAAATGAAAAGGACTCCAGTTTTCCGAGACCAAAAATATCACACCCGTCGCTTTATCATGCAATTTCTATCACAATGTGAACTTTAAAGGAGAGCTGGTTTGATATTCAATTATCTTTATGGAAAAGAAAAAGAATTCTCGTCATCCAAAACCAAAAATATCAGACACACTATCAACCAAATCCCCCCAAAAATGTGAACAAGGAAAAGGAAAAAGAAAAAGAGAGAAGTAGTTGGACATTTAAACAACTACTAAGTCTCGGTCCCAAACAAGTCTAGATTGGCTATATAAATCCCACTTCTTCATTTAAGCTCATTTTATATAGTCACACTAAGAAAAAATTCTAGTGTAAAAAAAATGTGCGTCTGTTTACATATATCTATAACAATAATAATTATAATAATTAATAACAATATTTGACGTTCTCTAACAAGTCTAAAACCTATTCTCCACTAGTAGACGATATTCAATTATCTCCATGGAAAAACAAAAAAGTAGGGGGAACATAACACCAACCTACAGAATTTTACCCCACCCCCAAAAAAACACACTGTTTTAAAGATGTATTACACAAATGGATGGTATAGGACATACTTGCATATCAACAAGTTTAAAAGTTAGGAGAGCAAACAGAATGATATACATGCATATCCTGGTATACTTAGCAGTTTCACCTTGTAAATTAAACCCACCATACAGGCCAGGTAGCTGATTTCTAGCTTTTCCTTTCCAGGTTTCTTCAAATCCATCAAGTTCATCTACCAAAAGACACCAATTATTCAGAAGCAGTTCACAGGAACCAACAAATGAGGAATCTCGTTTAGCAATCACTTACTTTCATTAAGGTTGTGCAATGTCTGCATGGTGTCCACCCTGCCATCTGAATCGAGTTTCCGCGACAAAGAATGACCCTATATTATCAAACTTCCATCAAGTCATTTAAAGCATAAAAAAAGAGAGGAAGGTCTTGAGAAATCAAGAAAATAAATAGGTAGTTCCACCTTAACTGTCAGCGAGAAGAACATACCTTATTATGTATTCCCCTTGAAACCCTGTGACTTGCTTCCCCAGTAGCGGAATTGGCTTCTTTACTTTCCTCGAAAGTCAGCTGCAAATACAAATAAACAATGAAAGATATGGCAAGGCCATAGCAAACCCGAGCTCTATAGTCCCCTATTAAGTGCTATAATCAAAATCACTTACTCCATCACTTCCGCCCCTCCTGGTTTTGGAAGAAGTGTAATAGGTGCCATTTGCACCACCATAGGACACGGTGGAACTCTGAAAGCTAAAGCTATGAACTTGAGGCTGTTGAACAGTATTTGCTCTCTGGAATACCATTTGTTTACTCCTCCTCTCTGCTATAAGTAATATATCATTCTTCAATCAATATCTATACAAGCAAAAGACCTTATAAACCTGGAAATGAAATTAAACTTTACACACATAATTATAACGGAACTATGCTCACCTCCTGCTTCATCATCTGGATATTCAATAAAAGGCTCAGTTCTTGACCTAGCATGCTTTCTCGTGTTCTGTTTCTTCTCTTTCGGAATATCATTTTCCTCTTTCTCATCATCAGAGTCCAACTCCTCAATAACAGGACCCCTAGACCTAGGCTGCTGGAAGGGGACAGAAGGTTGTTGGAAGGGGACAGAAGGCTGTTGGAAAGGGACAGAAAACTGTTGGAAAGGGACAGAAGGCTGTTGTTCCAGAAATCCAGTCATGTGCGAGTCCATGAATGGACCTCCGCGAGGACCAAAAGGGGTCGATCCAAACATGCCTCCAAATGGGTTTGTGAAGAAAGGATCATCAAACGGGTCTCTGCCTCCAAAAAAGCCAGGTAATAAACTCCTCTGACCTCCAAATCCGCCAAAACCACCAAAACTACCAAAAGGATTACCAAAATTGGAAAAGGGGTCTCTGCCTCCCTGCATTTTCAACTTTTGGCCTGAAAATTAACCAAAGATCGCTTCACTCAGTAAAATGTATTATATAAACAACAATATCTTCATGCACAGTGGTGGAAGCAAACAAGGTGAAATAAGTCTGGAGATACGAGTTTGAACCCAAACAAGTCGAGCAAGCATTTCAACTGTATGGAAGCAAGAAAGTATGTAATCCACTGTGAAATAATAAGAAAGTGAAAGCTATATAAGTCTTCCTTCTCTCGGAACTAAAATTACTTGGAACTGTGACCCGGAGTAAACTTTGGAAGTTGATGACTCTTGTTCCCTAATCTCCATTTGGCTTCCCCTCCTTATAGTTATATCATCTATCCCTTGCTACTTTGTACATTGAAGCTCAAGCATAAATCAGCTATTTGACTATTGTAACAGAGTATATGCAAATCTTGCATGTAAACTCACTATGCATGAAAATCTTTTAACTAGTGTTTCATTTCTATCTCACCAATAGTAGCTTTGCATATCCAAGTGAAAACAATCTTCCAACTGATTTTCTGTCTTTTCAAATCAAAAGATATTAAACATTTGGATAAAGTTGGGGAGTACAGTGGTAAGAAGCGACCATTATAAGGGGTTGATCCTTTCTTAAGGGTAAATACTATTGACACAAGCTAGCAAGACTGAAGCCTTCCCCACCAAGAAAAAAACTTCTAATAATATCCTCTATAATTGCACTCGGTGAATTTTCATATTCTAAATGCACTCAATGATGACATAAGTATTTATAAATACTTCACACACTATATAACAGACTAATATGAAGTGGCCGAAATTTTTTCACATACATAGACAAAGCCTTATGTTAAAGTATTGACTCACAACAATATAAGAATCTAAAATGACCAACACAATCATATGAGGTTTCAGTATAGTTTTCATGTCGTCCTATAAGGTAAGATGCATTTTATTTTGTAAATTTAAATTCTTGATAAGATTTAAATAATCATAGACTAAACTATTTCTTTCTTCATATGCATCTAAATCACCAAATGATTTAGATAATAGAACAAAGAGTAGGATTGTAAGAGAAACTTCATATGCCTCTAAATCACCAAATGATTTAGATAATAGAATAAGGAGTTAGAGAAACTCGGCGTCGAGTTTCAAAAATTTTGACAACAAAAAAGAAGAAAAATTGAAGGAGAAGGTCTAAAACAAACCTTAGTCATTCGTATGACTATATATTATTTCATTAAAGGAAAAAGGAGAATTATAAATTTAAGTTATTTCTAATTATAGAAAAACAACAGGATAGTCTAAAAAAGAAAATGTGTCACATTAATTGATATAGGTAGAGTAATATTTTATGCTTAGTAAAAAAGGAAAAAAAAGTCAGCCAAATCCAAATTAAGAAGTTTTACAACATGGTAACAATATAAAATAGTAAAGCACATTAAGATCATGGAGTGCCCATAGCCCACAAATCACACCTGAGAGGTAAACCACACTAGGTAAGCCATGAGCAACAAGCTCGACTAAGAAAATATGCAATGCGTTTCAAACTTGAAACCTCCCATTTGGGAGATTCCTTGCTCAACCAACTCGACCACCCTTCCGGATAGCTTTGATTGTAGTCTTATTCCACTAAATTTGTGTTGCTTCCTAGACGTTGTAGGTTTACCTTGTCCTCTTCGTATTTTCAATCTCATTTACTTATAGAAGAGGCTTTTTCTCCCATTCTATCCTTTTATGTGTTAATTCTCCCACTTCTAATGCGATCCCCTCTAGTCTTGTCTGATCTTATATGATTGTTCATTTGTCTTAACATATATTGTTCTAATGAAATTCATCTTGTGGATGGGATGATCTTATTCCACATCATTTTTGTATTGCTCCAAACTCCAACAACCCTACTTCAATTTATGTTACTTCTGATCAATTTAACAAGTCTTCTAAAAAATAGAAATACAAAACCTAGATACTTGAGTTGTTTGCATTTAGCATTTTGCACAACACTACCGTTCACTCTCACTTCTCCTTTTATTCTTCCTACTGGAAGCTAGACACACCAACGGGAACTAATCTGTCTTATTTTAGTTGAGGACCTTGAGGTGAGTTCAACTTCCTGGTTGGTCTCGCCAATTAAGAATATATCATTTGTCCCAATATCTTAGGGGAGAATTACTACTCCCTCCATCCATCTTTGTTTATCCACTATACTAAAAATGAATGTCAAGAGATGATTAAGTGCTTGGTTCATAATTTACCCTTATCATTAACTATAACCACTTCTCCAATGCATTTCCCAAAACATTATATTTAACTTTAACCATTTCTCCAATGCATTTCCAAGACATTATATTTATTATATTCAAAGGATAATATAGTAAAATTATCATTTTATTATTGCTCCTTAAGAAGTGTGTCAAATCAATACTGAACAAATAAAAATGGACAGAGGGAGTAACTTCAACCAAACCTCTAGTAAATTGCTAACAACAAACAAATACGGAAAGCGTTAACTTGAGAATGAAAAGTCCAACCACCAATACATTGAATACCAAAATTCTCTCTTTTTTCATACAACGCACAGCGTACCTAACCCCACCACCAAAAAATAAAGTGGTTACTTCCTCCTTGCTAGTATAGATTCTTATCCAACGAACCCTACCCAATAATATAAACATTAAGATAACAACAGATCTTGCAATATAACAGATAACATAAAGAAAGTTATGGAGAAAATTGTTTGAGTAAATCAATCAAACGCTGCATTTCTATTACCAACAAAACCAAAAGATAGTTAATTTATCATTTACAAGCATAAACCGGTTCATCTAATCGCCACGATCATCTCAAAATTTAAAGAACAGTTCATCTCACACTTCAATAACAGAAAATCACCAACCATACAAACCACAAATTAGGGTTCCAACAATAGAAACTATCATCGATCCTCAAATTAAACCAAAAAAAATCTTTTTTTACAGTAAATACAAGCGAATCAAACCCTGATCAGAGAAAATTGAAGAAACATTACCTGTAAAAACTAGAATTTATCAAAATTTACGAAGGTTGAATCGGAGCAGAAGGATTTTTTTTCTTCTGGATATTCGGATGAAAAATATAGATTTACGGATATCGGAATTTTGTTAATTAACTGACGGTTTCGCGAGGAATGTTCCAGTACGTGTCAGCAAAAGTGTTAGAATGGGCTGGGCTTCTGAAATATAAAGCCCAGTCTTCTTGCTATAAAGACCAAAGATCTAGTCCAACAACTTTATGGGTATATCATGTAACCATTTAAAAAATGACCAATATGTATTTTGGACTGGTTTACAGCAAATGTCCCTTTATAGATGAATGGTTGTATTCTTATATTGTCTTTGAAATAGTTTTTCTACCTCCACGAGGTAGTGGTAAGGTGTCTGTGTATACTTTATCTTTTTCAGACCCTACTTAGTGAGATTTTACTAGGTATGTTGTTGTTGTTGTTGGTTGTATTCTTATTTTGAAAGGTTATGCAAATATAGCTCTTGAGAAATTATTCTTATGGATAATGTCAAATTTTATAGAAGAAACATTAAATTGTCGCTTAACATTTGCAATAACTCACAACTTATAAATTATGGTATAATATTTTTTAGTTTGCTCGAAAAAAGATCTTTAAAACATGATCCAAAATGACCATACATTGCGAGAGATTTTTAAAATAAAATAAAATTTTTAAAAAGGACATTTACTACACAGTTATCTCAAAAAGGAAAAATCAGCAAAAAAAAAACTCACCACATTCCCCCACCACCACACACCAGTTTGTAACAAATATCACTTTGATACATTTCTCCTTCACGAATAATCTTTTACGTATTAAAACTTTTTTCAATTGTGTCTAATACACGTCACTTTTGTTCAACGCATTTTCATATAAGGTGGTGTTTGTGTGACTCCGATTCATTCAATGTGTGTCCACTCCTACCAATGAAATACGTACACGAGAGTTTCTCAAGCAATTAATGTCGAAATTAGGATCATAACTCTTGCTCAAATATCTGTAAACTATTTATTGTCAATTTTGTTACAAGAAAATATGTATTCTTGGTCTTAAAAAAAAATTATTTTTTATTTTTAAAAAGAAAAAAAGAAACAGATACCCGTGATCTTCTGGAAATAGTCAGCGCCTTTTAAAAATATAAAAATATAAAATAAAAATGGACCACATGACAATCACAATCACATAACAAAAAATAGTGCACAATGACTGCTGGATCTATTTTCCCATTGTGTATCATTTATTACTTTCACATGCCCTATTCCTTCTTTACTGTATATGTAAGATGTTTGATTAATGATATGTGTCCATCTTTGCCTATGAAATTTAATGAATGGTAGATGACGAGAGTTAATACTACTACTATTAGTATTACTATATTCATTTTCATATTTAATACCACCACCAGCACACATACCTACCATTCTTTAATGTTAGAGAATGACACAATTCAGTCTAGATTTTGCTTTTTTCAGTTCTTGAAAAGTTGTGTAAATTCATCATCAGAACAAAGGTAACTTAAAGCTGATATTTTCATGAGAAAGGATTATTATATGAATGTTACTATCATCGACAGTATGGCCTAGTGATCGATCAAGTGGTGTATCACGAAGTTCTAGGCCTAAATTTAGAGAAGACTATAGTAGATGATTTCTTGCCATTTTTCTCAATTTTGGTGAATAAAGTTACTTAATTTGTTGTTGGTAGGAAATGAAAGGTATTTTGTGAAACTAATCCAAGTGCGTAAATTGCTCAGGATGGCACAATTATAATTTATAAAAATAAATTAATTATATGAATGTGTACATTAACTAGTGCTATATTTTGTGAGTATGAAAGAATTCCAAAATGATACACATACGAACGTTTTGTTTGGTTTAACCATGCGGTTTTTGAAGTCAATTAGCTCAATTAATATGGATTCGTGACAGGTAGATTCACTAATGGAAGTAAAACACTTATTTACAAAAGTTATTATTAACAAAATGATACGTATGAATGTTTTCTTTGGTTTAATTAGTCATGTGGTGTTTGAAGTTTATTAGCTCGACTAATGCAAATGGTCAACAAACTCATATAGATGCTAGAAATAGTCGAGATTGCAAATAGAATGGTACACAATTTGATTTTGGAGAATATATGTAACACATTAAGTAAAATTTAGGATGGAACTCTAATGAATAGCCAACCTTATGGTTGAAAAATGCAAAACTCTACTTTCTTTCATTTTAGCTTTGAGATGATTTTAGCTGGTGACCACTTTTATGAGGCCCTTTTAGCGATGCTCGAATTGGTGTCAAATAAACGCACTATAATAGAAGCAAAATTATTGTTATCAAGAAATATCTATTTTCAAATATTTGAGACTTTAACTTAAATTTTGACGTGGATATCCAGACTCGATCTGTTAGAATAAAATTTTAATAGACCATAAATGTAGTTTCCGCTAATGCAGGGTGGGATTGAAGTCCTTCTCCAAATGGTTCTATTTTGATTTTTGCATTCACACTATTAATTTAATTTCACTCTTTATGGGTACTTCATTCTTTTGCCTTTATGATTCTCATGCAAATCAAGAATGTACGTAATTAAATGAAACATTTAATTTTCCATGACTTCTTTCCTGCATATTTTATGATTGTAATAAAATGAAAACATTTAATTTTCCACGACTTTTTTTCCTGCTTATTTTATGATTGTAATTAAATGGTCTAGGAATGCGAACTATTTCTCTCCTTACAAGTGATGAAAATTTCAGTATAACTGGATATTATATGAGTTTTATCTTTAAAATTTGTAGTATTGATTCCAATTGTAATATTTATTAATAGTTTGATAAATTTTTGTATGTACTAATATAAATAAGCTTCATATTAGAAGTATTGAATATTCATGATTATATTTAGGTGCTATTTTGTGTGAGTTAAATTAATAAATTACCTGGTTCAGGTCGAATCAAAAGGATGTGATAAACATTTTGAGTGAGTGTGTGTGGGGGGGGGTGGGGGGTGAGGGGGGGGGGGTTCTTCGATTGAGGGATATTTTTATAAAATTTGATAACATGATAAAGTTGGCTTTATAGTAAACGGATAAACATAGAGAGGTTTTTTAAATCTTCTTTAATAAGGATATATCATATATCCATCTCCATATTATAATTTTGAGATAATTTATTTCCCAAATCAAATGATCTCTTAATGATTTTAAATAGAACAATCTTTGATTATTAATTTTCTTTTAATAGAAAAGGATTTCATAAAAATAAAATTAAAAGAGGGAGAATTATATGCAAGATAGTGGGTGTTAGGTGTACGATATGGTGGAAGTAAATGCAGAATGAAAAAGATATTGTGTCATTAATTACTATCTTTAATTTTGTCTACACTTACATATTGCAAAATGGTGTGTACATTATTAACATAGGGGGGTGAGGGGTAAATATTTCTTTATTTTTTATCGATTTCGATTTTAAAATTTGGATATGATATTACCTTTGTTAGGTAAAGTTTTATTTCAAAATATTTTTTATCGATCTCGATTTTAAAATTTGAATATATTATCACCTTTGTTAGGTAAAGTTTTACTTCAAAAAAATGGGACTTTATAACGTAATTCGAGTTAAATTAGGACCAAATATAAATATAAAACAACAAAAATTGATCTCCAAAAAAAATAAAAATCAAACGGAAATTTTAGTAGTTCAATTGGTTGACTATTTAAATATTTATATTGTTGGTGAGGGTTATTCCCCACCTTATAATTTCCTCCCTTGTTACTCCTTCCGCTACCCCAATTTTTTCTTCTTCTCTTGAAACAATGGACTTCTGGATGTCGATTTTTGACCAAGTAATTTTAAGAATATTTTTTAAAAATAAAATCAACTTCTAGAGGTCATTTTTATTGCCGAAAATTTGAAAAAAATTCTAATCAATCTCTAGAGATTGGTTTCTTTAGAAAATTTACAAAAATGTCCCTCATGTGAAAAGATTTGGAGAGTATAAATAAAAGAACTAAAATCTTAAACCAATAAATATTCATAGTCTGGTAATAGAAACGTATCGTAACACAATAAAGACACGAAGTCATGATTTTCAAATAATGTATTTTATAATTATGTTATTAATAAACCTACGTTTAAAGGTTGTCGATATTTTTCAAAATAAAACCGTTATCCCCATTTGAGGTTGGCATTTCCCAAAAATCAATCGTTCGATTTTAAAAATCTATTTTCATTTTATTTTTTTTAGTAGCGTACCTAGCGGGTAAGGAAAAATAAATTGTAGTACATGATATGGTCGACATTATACGGCAGTGACATTAGAAAAATGACAAATTGTGAAACTTTAGAATTTTCAAAATCATGACGAAAGGACAATACATAGAGTTTTACTAATTTTATCAAAAGAAAAATAATTTACACATGATGTTTTTCTTGTTTTTATTTGGCTTCATTTAGTTTTATAATTTATTATATCATGTTATATTTTCCTTCTTGGAACTCAAAAGATTTTTGTGAAGTTTTTGGCTGTTGAAAAAGATAAAATCCATTTGACCAAACAGGCTAAAGTATAAATAGGTATGGTGGAAATTTAACAAATAACCATATAATGCCTAGCTGGTTAAAAGACAAATCCAAAAAAAAATATCGACCATTTTTTGGGAGATCAATGTCCTTATTTAATTATTCTAGACAAGGATATGGACCTACTCATCAATGTTGCAAATATAGATTTTTTTTTAAAAAAAATTGAAGTTTTTTAGTTTATAATAGATTTATTACAATATGAATATTTTTCAATTATATTAGGGAAGAAATCTCTATTTCTGTGAGCTACTAAATTCTAGAAACATAATTACAAAAATAATCAAAAAAATCAATATTGATTGATTCATTTCTATACTTTATGTTTATAATTGTAAATTGTGACGCTAGATGATTTATAACCATTTTTTCAATCTTTTCCTATGGTTAATTTATAGTATTTGGTTAATTTAACACATTTACCTATTCTATACGTATAAAATTGCAAGTTCTAATAAACAAAATTTGAATGTTAAATTATCTCCATTTAAATGATGTCCAAATAA